CAGTTGTTCTGTACTTTTGTTTCTGTTCACACACCTTGTGGCCCTGCTGAGGACTGGGAAGGTGCAGTAATTCAGTAGCTGCTGTACTGACGTCCAGGATTCTGGATAATGGTAGAATGATTGTTGTAATTTTCCATCCCCTGATGTTGCCAGTTGCTATGATATCCCCTCCTGAATCCAGTCTGGAAAATTAGTTATAATTACTGTAATGACAACTAATTGATTTCCACGAGCCTTTCCCCTGACATGTTGTGTTTCATCTGCAGACCCACTCTGAGGAGAGGCCGTTCCAGTGTGAGGCATGCAAAGCCTTGTTCCGAACCCCGTTCTCTCTACAGAGACATCTGTTGATCCATAACAGTAAGTGCTAAGTCAGAGAGGAATAGGAGCTTCCTCAGCTCTCACATTTGAGTTACCAAAACAGACATATGGCACCTTGTTCCAGTGTGCAACTTGCTACATTAAATGGGTATCAAGATTGAGCTCTAACCCCAGGGAGCTGGAAAATTCAGAGCCACATTCAAACCTTGTTTTTAAATGCACTTGAATGCAAATCCAAACGTGCTGTAGCAAGTATAGCAACGATTTTGAGGTTTGATGACGAGAGATTGATTTCTGCATTAAGTGTGATGGCATTACCTGCGTTTTAAGAAAGGAACAATGGAAACAGGGATAACTTGGTGTCTTATTCAGGTTCTGTAGGTAATCTGGTTTAGAGCTTGACAGTGAGATTCTCTCTACTGTGCCAGCCCAAGCTCATGTTTCCTGCCTCTGGCATAGAACAAGCAGCTTAGAGCAATGCTGTGCCATTTTCCCTCATGAGCAACTTTTTCTTGGCATTCTGTCTTCTTTTTTAACTGACTGTAAAGATTTATTTTTGGTGGAATTTTCTCCATCCTTAATATTTTCAGAGTCCTAGACTGCTGTTCCACCCTGTGAACATCAGCAATTTGGCTTTCAGAACATACTCATGATCTAAAATCCTGGTAGCTTAGGAGGCACTTACTTGATTTGGGGAATGTTTACGTTGGTATAACTAAGAAAACCACAAATCTTTCTTTTTTTTAATCCCATATAACAGTGTTTCTGTTAGATGAGTTATTGGACTGGCATGTTTAGTTCTTCCACAATTATCTTTCAAACCTTCTGCAATTTTATAAAGTATTGCATTTTGTAGACTTTATTTTTTCCGATGTGAAATGTTAAAAATGATTGGGGAAATAGTTAAAAACCTCTTCAGTAAGCATTTGCAGAATATCCAAAAGCCATAATTCACAGTATGCAGAGTTCTAGGCCTTGGTGAAGGTCTCTCTAAAGACATATACTATTTTTTGAAGAGGCTTGGAGCTCAGCAAATTTGAGGTCTTTGAGCTAGCATTGTGATTTGTGGCAGATGGAGCTGTTGCTGAACTACCTCTGTTTAAGCAGTCTGTGAACTGCAGTGGCAGAGACATTGTCTAGTCAGTCTGTCATGGTGCAAGAGTAGACAAGTCTTGCTGGAGGACAGAGTAGGTGTTTGAAGGTGGTAACTTCTACCATCTTAGCTAAAACAGTCTAAAATGAGTCAAAGCCTTATAACGGATAATAATTTGTGGATGTTATTAATATCAGGGAAGATGTTAAACCCTTTTCTTCTTACTTTGGGAGAAAAAACTGCCAACAACTGACCAACCTTACAAGGAGGCCTTAATAAAACAGAATATAGGCTATGCTTTTAGAGCCTTACTGCTTCTCTTCTGTCTACAGAGTCCTCTAAAAGTAGTAAGATAGACCATTAGTCAAGTGAAAGTCATTACTAGAATGAAGAGTAAGTAGTTTTCAGTTCCAGGCTGTGATTAAATCAAGGGACTCTGCTGTTGCTTGTGAAGAGCTTGTGTTCCCAGCAAAAAAATGTAGAACTCTTCCTGTCATGACCTAACTCTGAACTGACCAGCTGTGAAGCTCAAAACTTCAAGGAAAAATTCAGGTTCAGCCTACATCATAGTTGTCTTTTTCTTAAAAAAAATTTATTATCCCCATGTTGTTTTAGAAGCAGATATTGCAGGTTATGTGTTTGGCAATGCTGTGACTGACCCTTGATCCTTAGTTGTAGTGTTTAGTAGGAGACAGATGACACGTGCATGTATGGCAGCTCATACATGGCTAACAGCAATAACTAACATCCAGTGTTTTTGCTGTGGTCTGGTATTGTTGGGACATGCACAAATAGGATTGCATTTGTTGAGAAGGACATCATCCTTTTTGTATATCTGCTTGCTTTTCTCAAAAGATATATATGCAAATTATCAGAATATAATGTCTCTTCTCTTAGGTAATGATTGAATTTTAAAACTATCAGGAATGTTAACCTGGTCTCTGCCATAGCCTTCAACGACATCACTACAGTTAGAATGGTAATGCTGTTGTAACACTGAAAAGCTGTTTGATATTTGTCACATGAGTTGCCTCTACTGATATGAATCAGATAGATTACTCAAAACAAGTATTTCTGGTTTTGAGAAATGTGGTGTTCCTTTTCTTTCTGTTCTCAGGACCCAACTTTTCATTGGTCTCTGCTGCTTTTATTCATTTTTCTGAAACAATAAGCATTAGTGCATTTCCACAAAAGTCTGCTATCTTTTAGACCTGTTTTTTCCCTTTGTAAGGTGAGAGGACCTTCAAGTGTGATCACTGTGATGCTACTTTCAAAAGGAAGGACACATTAAATGTTCATATTCAAGTTGTGCACGATGGACATAAGAAGTACAAGTGTGATCTCTGTGACAAAGCTTTTGTGACACCCTCAGTCCTGAAGAGCCATAAGAAAGTGAGTAGAATCAACATCATATTCATTCCTCGTGTCCTTTAAGGTTGTGGTTAAATTTAAAATCTCCATCTGTTGCTGCATTTCTGGCTTTTCAGGGGAAACCTGTGATGGTGCTTCCCCTGAAATGTTTATTCCAACAGTGGGATTATTGGTGGCAAACAGAACCTGCAGCAGATGCTTATGTATACTGCTTGGTGTAGGTACCTCAGGTGTGTGTGGCAGGGTGGGACTTACTGCACTGCTCTTACCATACTCTTTTCCCCCAGTCTCTGCAGTAGAATTGAGATAAACTTTAGAAGGAAGTTTGCTCACTAGTTTGGCCTGGGGTAAGATTACAGAAAGAAATGCAAAGAAAATAATTGAACCAAGAACAAATCAGTTTGTTTAAAAGCATCATGTATGTATTACTTGCCATAATGTATGAGCTTCATGTGTACATGCCAAATTGAAATAGTGGAACTGAGTGTAACTGTGTGCCTTGGAACAGTATTGTCAGCTCATGATTATGGTCAATATTGTGCATTACAACATGAAATCTATATTTAAAATTGAGGAAAAAATGTAAGGGAGTCTTTGAGTATCTTGCAAACCCTCCTGTGTCTTAGAGGTGTGTGTGAGAACTAGCTCACACCTTTGGTAGCCTAAACCAAGTTATTGGTTTAATCTTTCATTAGAAAAACTGACCTCTTGAAAAAAAAACGGATTGCTTTTCAGACATAGTCCTGCTCATCCTTAGCTACTTGTTTTAATCAGTTGGACACCAGACCTGGCCTCTAATACTGATGTAGTGATTATAGTTTAACCTTTTGTGAAGGATCTTGCAAAGGTGGAACATAAGGTTTAAAAATACTACCTGGAATCATTCATGAGCTCCGCATACATTTTAAAATTTTTCCTCATATTCCTTTCTAAAAATATTATTGACTTGCTATTTGACATTAGGCTGTCCATGTGCACATATGTATTTGTGTTTTAATGGAAAGCAGCTAGTGGCTATCATTTATCCCTAGCCTATTTTTCAGCATTCCTTCTTAAGTGATAATTGCTTTTGCTTTGTGCTTCTGTCAGACTAGGACTAGCTGTATGTTTGTGAGCCTCGTAGTTGTAATGCATTGCTTCTAGAGATCCTGCTTTTATTTGGATGTTTGGAATGCATTAATGTCTCTTTGGTACTCCCCAATGTTGCTGCTAGATACAAGTGATTTCTAAAAGACTTCTTCCTAATCAAAAGGGATTTAACATGCATATTAAACTTATTAGGTGTCTTATTCTTGCAGCCATGAATGTACACAGAGGTCAAGTGGGCATTTATAATAGCAATTTTTTTAGGAAATAGTAAACCTAGGAACTGAAAATCCAGTTTATTTTGCCATTAGTAATGAAATTGGTTGAGAAATTTAGAAGAAAATTTCAAGACCACCTATAGCTAAGTCCTTAGGGTCTCTTCCTGGTGTGATAGTATAAAATACATAATGGAAATAATAGCAGTCAATGGCAATACAGTTAAAATGTTCTGTATTTCACTTTTGAAATCTATGCTGAATAGCCATTCTTGTCTTTCCCACCCCATGTAGACTCACACAGGAGAAAAAGAGAAGATTTGCCCATATTGTGGCCAGAAGTTTGCAAGCAATGGGACACTGAGAGTTCATATTCGAAGCCATACAGGTAGTTCTTTATTAAAATGAATAGAGACTTTTTCTAAATATATAACAAGGTATCTGTATGTCCACAATTTACCCATCTGCAAACAGAAGTGTAAATTTACAGATAGGCCTAACACATTGTCCTTTTCAGACATTTTACCTGCCTAATGTGTAAAACTTGCTGTCAGGTTTCATTTTGTAAGCTTACACTTGCATTCAAGTAAGTGGCATCAGCAACTGAAAAAGGTTTCTTTGTGATAGTTTGTTTCCAACACAAACCAGTATGGATTTGCCTTTGAAAGTCAGAGCATCAGTTAACCAATAACTTTCTTATGACATTCTGTTCACTCTGCATAAGCTAATTTGGTTTGCAGGGAGATGACAGACTTTTCTGTGTGCTACTGATATTATACATCAGTTTCCTTAAAGTAGAAAGGCCCTAGTTTTTCAGATTGATAGTGCAGATAACTCTTGGGAAAATGCTTTATAGCTGTCTGAGTGAAAATACTTTTCACACAGGTGCTGCTACCGGTTAGGAACTCTAAAGCAGGTTTTCTTAAATTTAGGAGTCAAGCTAGGGTGAATTTCATGAGACCACACACCAGAGATCTCCAGCCTTGGCTGTAGAGCCTTGAAAAATTTGTAGCCACTTTTATAGGAGGAAGAGTGAGCTATGAGATTTTGAACTTGAAGCAGAAAGGCACTAAAGATTTCCAGTACATTTGTAAATTAAATAAAGTGGGAGAAACTACCTTGCCAGGAGGTGGCACAGGTTGGAAATACAGGAATATGAACCGTGAGAACAACTTATGAAAGCATAATGCTGCAGATGGAGGGAAAATTTCAAGGTCTCTTTCTGTACCTAAAAAGCTAGAAGCGCTCATTTCAGAGTTACTAATTCAGTAAAAGTGGCTTGCTAAATTAATTTATAATGAGTTGTGAGAAATAAACTCTGATCCTTTCCTCTTCCTGTCTAGCTGCCATTACGATGTCAGTCACATTTTTGTTACAGAATTTTGTGGTTCATGTCCTTCACTGTGAGAATTAACTGAAATGGTTGGTTTCGATGTCATTCCATTATGGTTCCTGACCATTTCTGGATTATCCTGATGAAATGGAGGGGGTTGAGGGAGTTGCTACTTAGTTGTGACTTGTGGTCTAAAAACATTATTTTTAAGTTACGTGAAAAATGCCTTATGTTTGGTTGAGAGAGAAAATGCCATAGTCAAATTCATGTTGTAATTCTGGAGAGGTGGTTTTGTTTTGTGCTGTTCCTGAAGACTTCAATCACATTGTTCACAGTTACTATACATACAGACTGAGCACAAGAGGAGATGATTGTGCAGTGTTCAGTGGACCTGAGGAAACAAAGCTTTCTGAGGAATAGCTTGCATCAATTCCAAAGAAAGTAAAGGTAGCTGGTGAAGGGAATTTGTGTCATCTGCAAACAGGATGAAAAATCAATTGAGTGCTCTTTTGATGGCTCCTAGTAAGCAAGTTCACTGCATCATGGAAATCCTTGGCAACTTCTCAGGGATTTTATGAGCAGTGAGAAATTTGCAGTTCATTGAACATTGCAGCCACAAACTTATTTTCTTCAGAGATGAATGTTTGGTTTCTAAATGTTGCAATGATGAATACTTCATGTTCTTCATATCTCTTAAATTCTGTGGTTTTGAATTAATCAAGTCAAAACTGTGCATTCCTTTTTTCCTTCAGTCAGACTTTGAAGTATCACTTTCTGCTCTGAGCTAGAAGTGAAACAACTGCCACTGTCTGTTTTCAAGAGATGCTTCATCTTTGTGAATAAGCCTAGAGCTGGGGCCAAGCTTTTGGTGCAACTAAGCAGTACACCATAAGTGTAAATATTGCAAAGACCTTCTTGTCTTGGTGATTACAGCTGATGAGGTTTGAGGTCCAGGTGAAGACGTTTATGTTATCCCATTTTCTGTGCATGTGCTGCAGGTGAAGGCGTTTGTTATCCCATTTTCTGTGCATGTGCTGAGCTAGAATTTGTTTTATTAGCTACTCTGTAGAAGAGGCTAATTTACAAAATAGAGCCAGGTAGAGAGAGTTGTGCATAATTTTTTATCCTATCTTCATTTCTAAGTTGTTTTTTATAAAAGTTGAGGGTTTTGGGTACCCTCTTGGTTCCTTTTTGGAATAGTATTGCGTTTGTTATCCCATTTTCTGTGCATGTGCTGAGCTAGAATTTGTTTTATTAGCTACTCTGTAGAAGAGGCTAATTTACAAAATAGAGCCAGGTAGAGAGAGTTGTGCATAATTTTTTATCCTATCTTCATTTCTAAGTTGTTTTTTATAAAAGTTGAGGGTTTTGGGTACCCTCTTGGTTCCTTTTTGGAATAGTATTTTTGGTGTGCTTAATAATCCATATACAAAAAGAGAAGCTCAATGGAGTTTTGTCTTTTGTTTAACATGCAGCACGTGTTCCTAGATGTTGTTACTCACAGATGTATGCATGCTTCCTCCATAAGCAATTTTCTTCCCTCTTTTATCTTAGCATAAGGCTCTGTAAATGAGCCCTAACAGTACTTGGCCTTTTGCAGAAACTAAGCTGGTTTGGGGTGAGTGAACATGTCTGCATGTGCATGTATAGAGGGAAAGGGTTCATGTTTGCATCTGAACCTAGTGTATTGCTCTGTAATTCATCATTTGGGCTTCAACCTTGGCATGACAGAGACAGCTCTCTGTAGGTCAGCTGAAACACTATAGCACATTCTCCCTCTCCTGTATCCTGTTGGTTTATGACTTCTTAGGGTCAGAGGGAGCTGGGGTTAATTCAGCAAAAGAATCCTTTGACTGTGATATAAATTCCTTGGCTTGTTCATAAATTGTAAAAGAAATTCTATGGTCTGCTCCTTGGGCCTGAAAACTGGGGGCCAGGAGGTTAATTACTTCCCTAAAGTTTCAAGCAGCACTCAGTGGTAACAGTTCCTGGCTGCAGGTTGTGCAGCTTTGCAGTTGCCTTCTGTTGTAGCTGTTTAAATCTGTTAATTGCTTTTGTGTGTGTGTGTATTTGTGTGCCTGTGTAATCTGTGTATACACACACACATCTTACCTATCTGATATTTATACTGTTGCTTTCCTAATGAGTCGTGTTCTAATCCCTTCCTTTGCTGTGATGTAGCATATCAAGCTGTGCAACAGTGGAAGTTGTTCCGAAGTAGTTTTTGTTTTCAGGTAAATTTATTTTTGAGTTAGGAGAATTAAGAGGTTTAACTGTAATTCTGTCCTCTCTATGATGTCTTTTACCTACTATTACATAGGGACTGGTGAGGAACAACTAATGACTGTAAATGTCTTCCAGAAAATGCTTATACATGCAGATATAGGGTTAAACACATCCTTATTTTGTTTTCCATCACAGTTAGTCCAAGTCCTGATGAAAAGCCAGTGAGATAACTATATCTGCCCTAAGTGTTTTCTGAAAGATTAATTTTTCTCTCCTATGCCATTTGAAACCCGTGACTTACTGTTGCATTCTTACATGCTATATGCTCTGGTATGTGCAAAAAGCAGCTTTGTGTTTTAAGCATGAGTTGAGAAGGTTCTTTGTAAGTTTACTTTCATATATATGAGTAAAAGATAATACCTGGAGATTACATTAAAACAGCTCAAAGCATTTGGACCACAGAACTCTGTCCTTTGTGCCAACACAGTTAAGCTTACCTTTTCAATTTCCTTGAGTAAGAATTGGTGTTTAAGTTTCCAAAAACATTTCATCATACTTGTCCCCTTTTAGCTCTGATTGCCTTCTTGAGATGTCTCCCATCCTCTGCACTGAGAGCCTCATGTTATGCACCTTAGCATTTCTACAACTTGATTAACCAGGCATTTGAGCATATTTACAATCATATTTCAGTCCAAACTATGTATGTCCAGGTCCAAATTTTGCACTTTTATGTAAAAACTCCTGAGCAAATAGTTAGTTGTGGAGTTATAATAAAGATATTTGGTTATTAACAGTAGTTCAATCATCTCTGAACACAGAAGACTTGAGAGTAGTTGAAGGAAGTAATGAGTTCAAGTACCGCATAACTTTAGTTTATTAGAGTGTTTTTATTAATATGGCTCCAAAGGTTTAATGGCTAAACAAGCAACTGCTTGCCCATATATGTAATAATGTCCAATGGGGATCCTCACTCCAGCACGTCTTCTGGCAAATTACCTAAAAGTAATTTATATTTTCTTACGTTAAAGAAAAAGATAAAAGGGGAGCTCGAAGGAACTTCCTCTCGTATCACAATGAGGTATGTGAAAGAATGTATCTGTATCTAATCAGTGAACAGCTTGCTAATGTCTACAGATAGGTTGTTTCTATTCAATAACTTATAAATGATCTCTCTTTTATCTGCTGAATTTAAAAACGAGCTTGCAGAAGGCCTCAAAGGCAAGGATTCTGCATTTCTAAACCTTTCAGTTTATACATCATTGTCCTATTTATCTCCAGACAACAGTTAACTCTTTAAAACTACCTGCAAAGCTTCATGCAGCTGTCAGCTGCTTCTTGTCTGTTCCCATGAATGGAAAGGCTCTTGTAAGGGGTAGGTTATTTGTATGCAGTGACATCTTTACATCAGGTGAATTACTGGTTGATTGATTAATGCATATACTTAAAATATTTTTGGTCACAAATGTTTGTACTCTGTTCGTAGGGAAACAAAATTGTTTAATTCCACTGATAGATGCAAAAAATGACACTGTGTACTCTTTCAAGTAAGTGTGTTAGGTTGTTATTTGTGACTAAAATATATCACTGTAGAACTGATGAGTCTCTAATAATGGTGCCTTATGCTTTACTGCATAGATTCAGATAACATTCTTGTTTTGTCAGGTTTTTTACTAGTCTGTAAGATTAATTTAGCTGCAAATAGCTAAACCCTCAATCATATCACAATAATTTTGATGGAAAACGTATTGTTTCTTGGCCTTAACTGGAGATAACTAGAGAAAATATTAACTCTTTGAATAGACTAGAAACTTTGCAGAAAACAAACTTTC